TGTGTTGCAACAACATTTTGTAACGTTAATTCAAGTTATCCAATACTGCAGTAATATTGCTAAACAATAAGATACTACTTAATGGTGTGATAATATTATAAAAATAATTCATTGCAACAATACAAATAAGATATTGACCATGTATTTACAAAAATTTGTGGCTTGAAAGTTTTTTTGTACTATTACCTACGCCTTACTGCGATATTACGTGACTACAACGAATGTATAATCATACCATCTAAATAGTGCTAAATTTTTTTCTTTTTACTTTTGATTTTGCAACACATACTCACATTATCTGAATATTGCATTTCAAAGCTTTATTTCCCATTATCGTGGACAGTTCCCTGCAATATTATATGAGTTGTACAGTATTGTTACAATTTCGTAGTATTACAATGACATTTTCGCAGTTTAAAATGCTGTATACTTAAAATTTGTCAGAGCCTCACTTAGTCTCTCTATCTGTCTCACTCTCCCAACCCGCTGCTCTACAGCTGCAACAGTGCAGTAACAACTATCAGAGTACACATTTTCAATAATTTCGTAAACTAAATGTTTAAATTCTTTTGAGAATCACTATTGCTTGGTTAATTGTGTAAATATTACAAAGAATTTTATTTTATGTTTAGATTTTGCTAGCAGTGATAAAGATGATATAGAGCTACAAACTCAAGTATGTAATGTATATTTGTATGATAAAGGGGTGAGAATAATCTTATTAGATTTGGTTGGAATGTGTGGGACTAAGCTATTTATTTTTGTAAGAATTCTCTGTGAACCAGTTTTTTTCTCAGCACATTGACTTGTTGAGGAATTACTAATTTACAGGGATAAATTACTCCATTACTGTGCAGACAATAATTACTGCATACTCATCAATAATACAAAATAAGAAAAGCAGATTAGAGAATTCGTGTGCTGAGATATTTGGACATTAGTAACGTGCAATCAAGAGTCGTATTTTATATTGTAAAAAGTATAACTATTTAACTAAATGAATTTTAATGAATCTAAGCTACGAAAGTTCGTAGCCGTTTGCAGTAGTTGGTGCGCTGTAAGTAAGCCTGGGCTTTAACATGAAACTTTTATAGGAGATATCTACCCAACAGTTGGGGTGAAGTAACTGATGCTGATTTTATAACCGTCTACAGTAGTGCAAGCAAGTCATATCAAGACTAAAATAATTTTTGAAAAAAAAGAAAATAAGTAATTTAACAGAAAACTGTTCTTCATTGTAATCGAACAAGATACTCCTGATGACGATAAAATGGAACAACTTCAATTGACATCAAAAAACATAGAGGAATAAATAATTAAGCACAGTCAAACATTTAAATTCACAGTGATAAAGTCATTTACCTCTATGTGTGAGTTTTAGCTCCAGTGTCATGTTTTTTCTTCTTTTTATTTTTAATTACTTTTCAAAAGTTATATGTCCACTATCAAATGATCTATTCTCATCAATAGACTGTGTTTCGATTTTTTCTGCAAGTTGTTTTAGCTCACACTCTACTGGTTATTGCTAAAAGCTGGAAAACACGAATCCTAACCTTAAATACATATATTTAAGGCTAGTTGGTTCTTTTTTAATTTTTACTCATATAAGTTTTTTTATTTAAAAAATTTGTTTAAATTGGCTGGTGATGTATGTTTAAGGAAACGTTATAGCATTTTAATTAACCCTAGTGTCTTATAGGAACTTGTTTGCTTTTACGTAACTTTGTACTGGTATTGAGTAAGAAAATTTTTTATTTAGGCCTTGCTATATTACGCTAGTGATAAACTTATACACTTACTTGGTATTTTTTATAAAACTTTTGTGGTATACAAAAAATTTTCAAGAAAATGACAATAATTAGTCAATCTTTTGAATCAAAATTGTGAAATGTATTCATAATCCTCAATGTGTTGCACTCTAAATATAAGGCCAGATTTATTCAAGCCATAGCAGCTGTTGAAAAAGCATTGTTATAACAAATAAACGTTTTTATCATCACATAAATGTTGATAATTATTCGGCCTTTTAGATCAATAATTCCTACTTTATGCCATTAGCATGACTTTATACAGTATTTATTTCATTTTTTTAAGTATCGTTATCATGTTTATCTTTCAATTAATGTTTAGAAATTTTATCCAATGGATGCCATTTAAAACTTGCATCAGCCATTTTGGCAATGATTAAAAACAAAGATGATTTTAAATATCCAAGACATCGGGTGGATTAGTATTGAAAGCTGCAAAAATTAAATAATAATTTTAACCTTTCAATTAATCAAGTGCGTTAAAATAGATAGTTTTTTTGGTTAGACAAATTGGTCAAAGTTTCTGCTTCTACTATTTTTTGGTTTATTTGGCTCAAACAGAATCAGCATACAAAATAGTGAAATATTTTTCAATCTTAACTGTTATCAAATGTTTAAAAAAATTTTGGTTTAAATTATAATATTCTGACGTCTAATCACTCAAAATTGGCTAAACTACAATGTCTAATATTCTTTCTCCATGGATCTATTCATTTCACATTTCTCTCAAATTTGATATCTAGACTTTACTCACTGGGCTACTGTGCTCGAAAATCTTAGAAATGCTATTCTCATGTGCATACTAAAACGATGGGTGGCTTATGTAAGCCATATTAAATATAATTTCATAGTAACGGTACATATTATTACTTGCTCATATTTTAAAAAACCGCAGTCCTACGGCTTGGTATAATTGCACTTGATGCATCAAGTATAAGACCTTGTTGACCTAATAGTAGCTTGTTATCACTGGATCTTGTGAATTTTATAAACAGAATACTGCAACGAATGCTATTAGCTCACTGTGTATTTGCTCCAAGAATAAAGTTGGAAGAGATAAGAGAATCTATGCCAGCGCTCATGGTGGTGAATGGGTGCGATTTGAAGAAACGCAACTGAACCAAATTGAACATCATTTCTTGTTTCCATCAAATATCTAAGAAAATAGAATTTATAGAGAAAACAATATACTTATAATCGTTACAGGAGTCAAAAGTTACCCATACGAGCTACCTATTTTGAGATTTTCTTAGCAATCATCAATCAATAGACATTAGAAGTATCAAAGTAGTCATCTTGTCCACTCTACGTGTATGATAGGTTCTTGTATTTTAAACGAAAGTGCGTGTTTATCAGTCAGTCAAAGTTTTATAATATTTCTGCTTCGATTTCTATCAAAGAAACGATTGGACTTATACTGACTGATTGAAACAGTGTAATAATTTTGAGAATTACTAAGCTTTCTGTTCTCAGAATATTATAAATAAGAGTGTAATAATTTCTAACATAATATTTTTTTACACCATCATACAAAAAGATACTTTTCTGTACTTTTAAAATGCTAATTTTGACCACGAGCGAAGTGCGCTGCAGTCATTCTCGGAGCAAATAAGCTCAATATTATATGTACAAACAAGGATTCAGACGCATGAATTTTATTCGCTGAAAATTCCTTCAGGAATACATGGCATTTACGTTATAAATTGATACGACTGTTCAGATAAACAAATTTACTCCACTTCAAATTCTATGTGAAAGTAGTTGGCATGCAGGGCATACTGCTTTAACAGTTATTTCTTGTTAATTTACCAAATATCATTAAACTTGTCGATTCAAATTGAGTGGAATAACCTATTAGATAGAATTTTAAATTGTTTATGCATAAATAAAAGATAAATAGAATGAAATTAAATTGGAAAAGATAGAGAAAAATTATAAACAGTGACAAAATCAATTTTTAAACTGTTGTGACTTTGACTTTGACACCATGCATAAACTACTTTGTAAATATTAGAAATAAAGTGTTAAACTCAATATTGCACGCTTACAAAAATCTTTATTTTGGAATTATGCATACAACAATTATTCTTGTTTATGTCGCTAGACAAAGGCATCGTTGCTGCATATTTATATAATGACAATTTTTTCTCTAATATCTGTGTTAGGTTTAAATATTTAATAAAGATCTTCTTCTCAATAGAATGTTTAGTTGCATTATTTTTTTCAAGTATACGGTTAAAAGGTTTATGCATAAATCGAAGGTATATTTATTTAAAATCCATTTTGCAGTAACAATCTCGTTTGCAGATTATGAATAATTCAAATTATCGTTATACATGAGAATTGTTTTTAAATTAAATTTTAGTTGATTCATCCCTATTAAACTCACAAACAACGTAAAAAATTTTGACGGGTCAAATTTTTCTATCACTTTATTTTCACCAACAAATTTAATTAAAGATAAAAAATGAAAAAGAATTCAGCACTCACATAACGTTCACATAGAATTACTAGTAAAGTGGGTTTGGTCATCCAAATAATTGTACCAACATATATAATGACGTTAATAGTAAGTGCTGAATGCGTTCACTGGAATTCTCAGTGAACGAGATTCATGCATCTTAATACTAGTTTCAACATGTAGTGGGTGTACGGCAATCGAAGAAAGTTCATTATTATTCTCAGAGTAGAGATCTACAGAAAATAGGTCGAACTAATCATCTTCCCTTAGCCCTTTGTTCACGTTCTGAGATCGTTTATTGTACGTGTAATAAGTACCCTGCATCTTGCAGCATTGGCCACTCGTTAAACCAAACTATGTAATGTAGCAAGTTGCGAGTTGTGTCACAAACTTCTAGACTATACATTATGAACAGCAAGGTCAGCCTCTCTCTCTGGACTACGTGCTAGCAAGGGGCGCAACATAATTTATAAATATGCATGTGCATAGTTGTCTCGGAGTCTCGTTTTATCATTTGCTATTTAATGAACGCTTGTACGCATACTCAACTCTCATTTTTATAGAAGCATGAGTGTGGGTTTGTACATTATATACTGTAGTTCAGATATCTATATAAAAAGCAGCAGCAATATTGCGCTGCATGAGAAAAATAACAACTAAAAAATAATCAATACATAGTAAAGATATATCTATGTATTTTAAAAACTAATCTCTCTGTTTTTCTATTACAGGTATTTGGGAGCAAGGCAGATCTGCAACTACACACGCAGATACATATGCGTGAAGCCAAACCGTATAAGTGTACTCAGTGTTCAAAAGCGTTTGCCAATTCGTCTTACCTATCTCAGCATACGCGCATTCATCTTGGCATCAAACCCTACCGATGTGAGATCTGCCAGCGAAAGTTTACACAGCTGAGCCACTTGCAGCAACACATCCGTACACACACGGGTGATAAGCCGTATAAGTGTCGGCACCCTGGCTGCACAAAAGCCTTTAGCCAGTTAAGTAATCTGCAGAGCCATTCTCGTTGTCACCAGACAGATAAGCCTTACAAATGCAACTCCTGCTACAAGTGCTTCTCAGATGAGCCGAGTCTTCTCGAGCACATACCAAAACATAAGGAGTCCAAGCACTTAAAAACTCATATTTGTCAGTACTGTGGTAAAAGCTATACCCAAGAGACTTACCTTGCAAAGCATATGCAGAAACATGCAGAGCGTACGGACAAACGACCACCAATAATTGGCTCGGGTTTAAGGCCAGCTTCAATACACGCAATGGCTACCGTAGCAGCACACCATCAAGTGGCAGCTGCTGCGGTTGCAGCTGCAGCAGCAGTAGACCACTATTGGCCAAAAGTCAGCCCCGACTCTGTCATGGCTGCTGCAGCCGTAGCTGAGCAGCTTCATGAGCGGTTACAACCACCACCACCACCACCACCACCACCACCACCACCACCACCACCACCACTACTATCATCATCGTCATCGCTATCGACATCGTCAGCACTACCTCACCACCCCCACCACCACCATCACCACCACCAGCAACAGCAACAACAGCAACACCACCATTCTCACCATCAACAGCAGCAACCTCAACATCATCAGCAGCAGCATCAGCAGCATCAGCATACCAATGATTACCACCATCATCAATCACCAGGTACCAGTAGCAGTAATACTGGTGGTGAAATGCTGCTTCCCCCGCCACTACCTCCACCATCACATCAGCACGTTCAGCGAGACGTTCTTGAAGCTATTGACTCACGCCAACAGAACCTTCAATCTCAACAGTCAGACCATCACCCTAATAACAGCAGCTCAGCTTTTACACCGATCTCATCTATCTCTATTAATTCGATATCTTCGATGCAGCATCCACTTAATCCTTTAAACCATTTGCACTATCCAGCAAGCCATCACTCAACAGCCTCGCGACCGTACCTCTATGAGGCTTTTGGATCGCAGAAGAACTTATCAAGTGGGCCTTCTGGAGTGGCAAGTGGATCAGCTGGATCTGTTAACCAAAGTGCTACCAGCTCTTTTCCTAACCACTTGATAAGCTTGCACCAAATCCGCAACTATGCCCACCAGCCCAACCTTGGAAATTTAAGCAACCTTGGAAACCTAGGAAACTTGAGTAATCTTGGCAACCTTGGTAACCTGAGTTCAAGCCTGGAGGGTCATGCTCTCCTCAGCGGGATTAAGGAGAAGCAGTGAGCAACATAGAATTATATGACTCCCCACCAACTTGCCATCCTTAACTTAATCTCTTTTTCCAGTACGTTGCAGCAATATTCAATTGTGATCAAGGGTCGAGACTTATTCTCTACGCTGAACTAGATGATCAAATGGCCCTTTTTAAAATATAATTAATGTTTATTTTTTCTAAAGTAGCAAGTATGCATTGTTTATAGAAATTTAATTCTACGCACATCATTATTACAGTTGTTGTTTTTGAATACAAATTAACTGTTTTCTTTTACAGTTAGACCATTGTATGTAGTAATATTATCATTTATATTGTCATTATAATAATTATAATTATTATTGTTATTTCTATTAATCTCAATGCCTTCTCTTTTAATATCTTAAGAACAATATGTTAAGTTGTTTATCGTACATTGTTTATGATTATGGAAGTCAGTACAGTTAAGGTGATAGCATAGTATATTTTGTTTAGATCATAATTCTTTGTTTCCCTTGTGATTATTAGTTTAATTTTAAGGTGATAGCATTGTTTATAAATAGATATTATTAATATTTATCAATAATAACTTGTTTGATCAGTCATATACAATTTGTTACGATGATACTGATGTTTGAATAGAAAATATCATGCAGCCACCACTGTAAATAAAACAAAAAATTTTTAATAAAAAAATTAGTCATCAACAATGTTTACCTTATTTTTTATCTACAAGGTTGAATTTTCAATGATACTTAGGACTTGTATTCAAATTGTGTTATTAAAACTTACCACGTTTATTGGTAAACATTGTTAATAAAAACAATGGTACTGTCGTTATTAATAATATTATTTATAATTATGTTTTTTTATTACTATTTAAATTATTGTGACAACTGTAATTTATTTAAAGTTTGTTTAGTATATTATTGTACAAAGGTTAAATATGCGAAACTTTTTTTATACAAATAAAGCTATACAACAATTTATAAAGGAATCAAAGATTACTTAGCATAGCACTGATGCTACAATTAAGTAATAACTTATAACATTAAGGTTGCTCATCATGAAATCCAAGTTCGTTAACTACAAAAAAAAGTTAAAAGCATTATACTTAAATATAACACGAATCTCCTCTTAATACTTCAAACCATATTACCAGGAAAATCTTTAAAAACGAATCACTTGCAAATGTATGTGTTACGTGGGTCATTATACAAAATCATTTAACTTTGATAGAGTATGATTGATTTTGTTTTAATAGACCTTTAATTATATTACGAAACTAGGTACTAAAGATAAAAGTTATAAGCTTTCTGATTGTATAAAATAACTTAGAAGTATCTAGGAATATTAAAAAATTATCTGGGACGAAGGTAGTTATGTATGCGATCAGCAACACTGAGACTTTAGCCATGAACAAGCAGACATCAAACATGTGCACACAACAACTAAATAAAAAAAATATTGTGAACATTTGTAAAAAAAAAAGAATTCTATTTATTGATATGCACAGAAATCAACATGAATGTAATAGTAACAGTGATCGACTGGTTGTGCAAATTAACATAATTAGTAGATATAGTCTGCTTTGATAGTAACGAACATACAATTTTAAGTACCTTCAATAAATAAAAAAACTGTCGTTTTCGATTGCATATCTATGACATAATATTCAACATTGAATACATCTTGATGAGCCACCTTAAGCCACTGTTTTTTGATATGGTATAGTAACAGAAGTAAAATAGTATAGTACTTATTAGTTGTGGGTCAGAAGGTGCTAGAAAAACTGCATCTTGTAATGTCTTATAATTATAATTTTAAGCAGTTCAAAAGTTCTTTGATTTGTTTAATATGCTCTGATGCTCTGAGTTCTGTTACTGATCATTCTTTTTTCTTGATAGCTCTGAAATGTAGTCTATATATATTTATATCAACGTACAAAAATATATGTATATACACACATACAAATTAAGCGTTGCCTTAGTGTTCCTTTAAAAAAACAGAAAACACTGGTCCTATAATAACTTAATTGATGTCACAGACAATGGGCTGGGCTAAATAAGAGGCGTGTGAGATTATTATTCACATGATTTTTAGAAACATGATCAGCAAAATGTAAACAAAAGTTGTACAGAAAAAAATAATAATTAAAATTGACTTCTTACTTTAAAAACGTGGCTCTTCTTTTTTCATATTTCTACTTCTTATAACCTTACAAAATACTTACCTCAATACACTGAACTTTTTTTAAATAAAAATACTAGCGGCCCTGTCAGCATCACCCAAAGATTTACAAAGTGGAGTACCGTTGTATATTAACATATATAATGTAAAACATTTTCAAAATTTTTCATTAATTTTTGACACTTCTCGAAAGGAATAAAAATTCAAATTAGAATAGTACATTACGATACTAGTGCGCAAGAAAGGCGATTGACGCACGCGTGTCAATCACCCAACCTCTCGCACGTGTAGTGTACACAACTTTTTGACACATCGTGAGCGGGAACGAGATTATGAGCCAATAACGGCTCTGCAAAGATCTCGACGTACACACACACTCACACGAGTTCACAGCACGAGTTGTGAGTCGCGTGGGTAAATCGAGGTCCTTAGAGCCACAACAGATAGCTCATAATCGAGGTCCCCGCGCACGGCGTGTAGAAAACTTTTTTTTTGCAACTACTTTCAGAAGAAATTATTTCATATTTTTTAAAGCGAAATCTGACAGAAATTTTTGTATCAAAAAACTGTGTAAATCTAGTAAGTTTTAATCTAAGTCCATTACTTACTGGCTGGCGCCACGAACGAAGCTGTTCATTGCAGCTCTGAGGATTCTTGCCACCAATGATTCTCCCATTTAACCAGGAATTACCAATTCTCTTCGAAGTCTGTGCTTGGTGGAACTAATTGCGAAGCTATAAATAAAAATCAAACTTAATCATACAAGACAGTATCCAATAGGTAAGTGACTAAAATCAATCTCCACCTTGGACTGCCAAAATGACTGAGTTCCCTTCAAAGAGAAGGTGCTTTGGATTTCAACGTCTCTAGCGTAGCACCAAAAAAAGTTTAAAACGATATATGCAATTAGCTACAACATATCAGAGCGTCGTGGTTCAACTCTCAACCAGTATGGTGCTACAACAGCAAACTAAAAAAGACCACTCTGAGGTACCCATTCAGTAACACATCTGGAAACTTGAGTCAGGAAAGAGTCAAGCTCGCCAGTTATTTTTAAGGCCAACAAGTATATTACATCGTAAGGAACGTGCAGTACTTTTAAGTATCATAAAATTTTTTAAAGCTTATAATTCGTCCACAACTGCATGCATTCCGAAAAATATATTTACAAGTGAGGTGGTTTGACTTTAGATAGTCCTAAGCCAGTGAACAGTGGCTGTTTGAGTACCAAAGTAAAAAGTAATACTTCTATACAATTATATGGCAGATAATACAATTATAGATATAAATATACCTTTCATAAAACGATACTGTGTACAAAGGTGGTGCAATTATTGTTGGAATGAGTATACCTACGTTAGTTAAGTGTGGTATCAATAAATATTTTAATATTTAGTAACTGAACAATTATAAACAATATATTGTGGCACGATACAACAGTATAAACAAAACGGAGGCTGGCCAGTACAAGATCGTGCTTTTTCATTGAATCTTCTGATGATTTCAAACAGCTTTCTACTGCCTACGACGGTTACATCCTTATTCGCTATGCGCCTATGTCAGGTGGCGCCATTGAGTGAGAGAAATTGTCCCTTGCTAAGATTGCCAGAATGCATGGAGTCTTATAGGAAAATTTTTAAATAAATTAAAAAGAAGGTCATTAAGAGTGAATGGACCAAATGAATCAGTGATTTGAGTGTGTCTTATGTTAGTGTACAGTAATAAATTTTGTTTGGTGTTACCATGTATACTACAAGATTGAAAAAAATAAAAACATGGATTGCGACTATGAGAACACAGCATATTTGAGTGCATATACATGCTTACACTTGTGTAAAGCTAAAAAAAAACACAAGTAATCCATGGAAACGTAGTATAAATGTGTAAAAGTTAACCTAATCTGTCATTAGTATTAATTTTTATTGAACACTGTGTTGTGAGAAATAGATAAATGTAAGCAGTAATTGTGTTTCTCAAGCTCCATAGAAGTGCAAGCATGTGTATACACATATATATGTTGTGTTAGCACAGTCGCAATCCATGTTTATATTTTTTCCAATCTTGTAGTACATATGACAACACCAACCAAAACTTATTACCTTACATTAACAGAATACACACTTAAATCACTGATTCATTTGGTCAATCCATTCTTAATAAACTTTTTTTTAACTTATTAAAAAGTTTTCGTATAAGGCTCCATGCATTCTGGCGATTTTAGCGAGGGACAATTTCTCTCACTCGACGACGCCACCTGACATAGGCGCATAGCGAATAACGTCACGCTAATTTCTGCCACATACGCTCACACACTTACTAGTAGTCCATATTTAATATCCAAAATATTATTGTATCTTAAAAATTAAGACCAACCATTCCGTAGTACCGCTTTTTTTCAATATCATAGTAGTACATGCCAGTGAATGTCCCTTCAGAACGTCCATTACGCGTAGATTTTTTTTGGCACACATTATTCAAGCATATACTAAATTCAAAAGTATACTAAAAATACCATTATAAATAACAAACAAAAAATACGTATCATTCAACTGTGCCCTCTTTCATATGTTCAGTTTTAAGAACTTGCAATTTAACATGTTACCTTACAGAAAAATCACTTAAAATTGCATTTATGAGATCTGTATAAACGTCCCAATTTTTTTTTATATGAAAGATTGCTATTAGATGAACCTGCTTCATTTTCAAATAGATCTATAATTAATCTCTTTTCTTAATAACACAAAAAAGAAGGGGTTAAGTACGCGTAAAAGTGTGTATGTAAGCTCATCCATATGAGAAAAATAATTTCCAGCGATGCTGCATATATTTGCGCTCTATTATGAAAATTAAGAAAAAATGTGAGAAATCGTATGAACAATTATTTATTTACTTTAAAAGTAACAAATAAATAATAAGTGAATAAACGTTTATTGTTACATATAAAAGCCGCTCTGCTAATATATACTAATTTCCAAATTTCTGAAAAAAAAACATGTACCAAAAAAATACATTTCAGTAAATAAATTATTGATTAATTAAGTGTTTAATGAGACCAAATGAATGGTGTTCAGTGTAATACACGGTCAATAATAATGTATACTAAAAATAACTTACGAACTGCAAGATAAAGTTAAGTAATTGATGTTCCATTGTTGGGCCTCCTCATAGCAGAATGGGTTAGCAGGGCCTCGGCTAGGATGCAAGAGGTCGGGGGTTCAAATCTATTTGGAAACTGTTTTTTTTTTTTTTTTTTTTTTTTTTTTTTTTCTATAAATTGGTTAAAAAAAAAGAAGTATAAT